GGGTATATTCCTCCCTCAGGGAACTATAAGGGTAAGCTCCGTGAGAGTAGAGACATGGTATATCTCAATCATTGCTATTTCCCCAACATTTATACCAGTGCCTGGCATGGGGCAGGTGCTCATGGGGTAGTGTTTGTGGACTGAATGAATGGCAAGGGCTTGATCAGATTTACAGTTTAGAGAATGAAATACAGACAGCCAAAGTCAGGAAGAAGGTTGTTCGAACACCAGAAGTGAAAATTATTAACAAAGGTAGCAGGAGTGCAAATGAGGAGAAGGATGGATATAGGAACAATTAAGGAAGGAGAGTTGAGAAGACCTGGTGACACAATGACTGTGGCAGGTAAGAAAGGGAAGACTCAAGGATAAGGCTCAGGTTTGGGTCTTAAGCAATTGGGGAGATGGGGATGTGACTCAGTAAGGAGGAAAAATGGAGGAAGGCAAGTTTTGAAGGGAGGTAAATTTGGTTGTGGATTCCATGAGTTTGAGGTTCCAGTGGGCCATGGAAGTAGAGATGTCCAGTACATGGATTGCAACATGGAGCCAAAAATACAGTTTTGGCAACTTGCGGGTGAAAAGGAAAGTGCTTAATAAATGAGCAAGTTCAGGGAGAAGGTGTAGAGAGAGGGGAGCTGCGGGGGAAGATGCACCCTCAGAGAGGCTGAAGAACCAAGAGGTTCCTAAGAACCAGCAGCAGAAATGGGAGTTCTGGCAAGGAACCTTAGGTAGGAGAGGATGCCCAGGAGAGGAGTGGGCAACAGTAGAAATAATGTTAACAACACAAGTAAAAGCAGAAGTGGGAAGGGCCCACTGGGGACTTTCAAGAGGCCTGCTTTGATTGGCCTGGCTCATGTGGGCTGAGGAGTGAGTGAGGCAAGGACTTGAGGAGAGAATGAATGAAAACAAGAAGCTCAACTGTGAAGAGAAGGAGGTAGCATGGGAGAATCCAGAAGCAGTTTCTAAGATGGGAATGACCTGAACATATTTAAATGCTTCTTAAGGCTAACCTCATTCTACTCTATATCTTCACTTCCGCTGGCTTGGGGCACAAATAATTCAATGCCTTAGACCTGAAATTTATAGCAATGCTTTTTTAAAAAGTGCCTCTTAGAAGTAGCCAGTAGAGAAAGAGAGAATGGAAAGGGTTTTATTTCAATGTTGGCGGCTCAAAGCTTAATGTGACTAATGCTGAACTCACAATACCACAACACCTACCTTCAAACCTTTTTTCTCCTGGCTCCTAACCCAACCAATACCCTCGTTATCTATTCAGCACCCTGGATAGCAACCCCTAAGCCATCTCTGAATTCTCAGTCCCCTCTCAGATTTCATCAATCACTGATTTTTGTCAACACTATCTTCTAAATATTTAATTCTGTCTACTTTTCCTAAAGCCACTTCCCCAGTTCAAACCTATATCCCCTTCTATCTGGACAATTGATATTGTCTAACTGGAGTCTATGAATCTTCCAGCTTTGAATTCTCATGGCTTCCAAAGTTTTTTTTGCATATATTGATCCAGTCATGTCACTTTTCTAAAAACGTCTTGGAAGGATGGCAACCTTCTGAGAGGTGACATCCACCCAGCCTTGCACACCGTCAAGACTGGCTGGAATCTAACCATCCCTGAGCTCCGCCAGCTCTAGCTTTTGTCCTGCTTCTCTCCCATGTGCATCCTTAGTGTGCCCTACAAGGTTTTGCTCCATGGGGAAATGCCATGTGCTGTCACATCCCCAAGTCTAGGCTCATGCTGTTCCCTCTTCCTGGGACTCCTGGGCCTAAATTCTGCAGGCCCAGCTCAAATGCCACCTTTTCCTTCAAGCCTTCCTTGACCTCTCCCTCTTCAGCTCAAATCACATCACTGCGTGAATCACTCTTTACTGTACCTCTTCAAGGATGTGGCAACAGGCATCACAGACTGATAATCATGGACATGTTTTACCTCAGATACCTCCTAATGCATACAGTGGAAGCAGGGACAATACAATTGATTCATCTTCACACACAGTAGACATCAGTATATCGTTAGAGGAATCACAGTGAATAATGGAGAAACTGATTGATTTTACGTAACCAAAGCAATTTCTACCACTCATCATCATGGAACTGGATGAACTAGTTACAATTAAATAAATCCCAAAATCACCTTGAATAACAGGTGACTTCCTGATTCTGCTGGTCACTTACTGGGAGGTAAAAGCTTGCTGTGTCTTCTCAGTGCTACTGTTTTGCTCTAGCTGAGCTCTAAGGCTTAGGGCCTGTCTGCTTCATTCCCTTTTATCCACCCAGAAAATGATGTCCAGCACAAGGTCCATGCTAGGCACTGGGTACACATAAATGAACAAGAGTTGTGCCATTAGGGTGCCTGCAGTTTAACAATCAAAACAATGAATACTTGTCTACCAATGATTCTGGTCAGACATCATGCTATTCACTTGGTCCTCACAACAATGCTGTCAAGTAGGTGGTACTGCCTCCATACTAGGATGAGGAAACTGAGGCTCAGAGTGGCCAAATCACTTGCCCAAGGAAAGTCTGTAATGGGACTGTTTGGTGGTCCCCCGTGAGACATGCCTCCTAGTATTCCTGCCCTTCCTTATGTGCTCTCTTCCCACACTGACTCAGGGATTGGCCGTGTGACTTGCTTTTGCCAACTGGACATTAGCAAGCCTGATGCAGGCAGAGGCTTGATCAGCAGTTCTAACTTAGGTCTTGTCCTCTTGGAATACTCCCTCTTGGGATCCAGCTGCCACATAAGAAACTTGGGCTAGACTACCAAATGATTAGATGCCACATGTATCGAGACCCTGGAGAATGAGAGGCTATTTTGATGTCCCTCTCCTGCTAGTCTCTCAACATAATGCAGCTGTGTGAGATTCCATGTGAGACCAGCAGAGCCCACACCCACAGTCACAGCTAACGCCAGACCATGAGGAATAATACATCACTGTTGTTTTAAATCTCGAAATTCTGGGGTAGTCCGTTACACCCTAATGAATAACTAAAACCATGACAAACTAGGATTTGAATCCAGTACTACCTGACTACCAAAGCTTATGCCATTGGTCTCACATTGTGTTCCTTCTGATTGAGTGGAATGTCATACTAACACAGGTTGGCCCATGGTAGCATGCAATAAATATTTGTTAAATGAATGGATAAAGGGTGTGATAGGTCACCAGGGAGGTAAAGCGATCTAGGGAATTCAAAGGCAGGATGGCAATTACTTTTCAACAACCATCACCCCCTTCCCATTACAAATATTCCAAAACAAGGCTGGGCACAGTGGCTCATGCCTATAATCTCAGCAGTTTGGGAGGCTGACAGGAGGATCACTTGAGCCCACAAGTTCAAGACCAGACTGGGCAACATAGGGAGACCCTGTCTCTACCGGAAAAAAAAAATTAGGCAGGTGCAGTGGCACATGCATGGTCCCAGCTACTCGGGAAGCTGAGGTGGGAGGATCACTTGGGCCTGGGAGGTCGAGGCTGCAATAAGCCATGATCATGCCACTGCACTTCAGCCTTGGTGAGAGAGCAAGACCCTGTCTAAAACAAACAAATATTCCAAAACAAAAGCGAAACCATTTAGGCATCCCTAAATCTAGAAACAATTGTCTGGATAGCACCAGACTCCCTCTCTGTGTCTGCCTCTTTCTCTGTTAAATTCAGATCAGGCAAAATTGAGATGGTAATAGAGTTTGTTTTCTGATGGCCCTGCCTCCCTGCCCCCAACTCTCCATTACACCCATGGCATCTTCTCTCTTCCTCCCACTTGGCCTTCAGGGCCCAACAGTTCTTTCTCTCTCTTTCCATATAAAATCCACATGCAGAAAAGGGGCTGAGAAGGTGGAGATTATAGAAATGGGAGAGGAAGGTTTGGATGTTAACAGATGGATTTACAAGCCAAAGAAATGAAGCTCTAAGCTCGGTACCCTTAGGAGGCATCTGCCAGCAGGCAGAGGTATCCTAAGGATGGGTGAGGCAGCTGGAGTTGTCCCTATTATACCCCTATTAGGCCCCTGTGGGTGGGGAGTAAAGGAATGCCCACTGCCTCTATAAATCCCTGTGAATCCCCCAAGAAGGCTGGGGCTATGGCTCTCCACACCTGTGGCTGTGGCCCCAACGTGTATTCCTCCCATAGTAGTCAATCCAGCCTGGCAAAGACCCATGGGGTCAATGCATCCAGTCCTCTGCCTTCTGGCAGCCCTGGCACTGCTTTTTCTGTTCTAAGCCCACCCTCATTCTCCTGCTCCTGCAAACAGGCACACACCTCCCAAGGTCACACACAGACTCCAGCACCTGGATCCCACACCCAGAAAACCATCTGGGCCCCTCTCTGCAGAGAGACCTAAGGAGAGAGCAGGCCCACACTGTACTCGCCGGCAGAATGTGGGCAGTGCACACGGGCCCCATGTCACACACACTCACATGCAAAGCAATGCGGAGGGGCGCACATATCTAGAGACACTGTGAGCACTGTCACCAGTGCAGGCACTGGATGTGGAGACAGAAACATGTGTGCACACACATGCACACCTCCAGACTATCACACGTGCACACCGGCACGCACAGACAACCCGCACAGGTGCCCAGCCAGGCCTTAATACCAGGCCCCTCCCCCAGCCCCTCAGAAGCAGGTGGGGAGGATTGGGGTTTCAGGGCCCTTTCCCTCCTCCTTCCCTCTGGCCCCTGCTCTCCAAGGTCCAGAGTCCCAGTGGGGTTCTGGAGCCCGCCCCTGCCCCAACGCCAGGCTCCGGGAGCGACAAGCGAGAGGGGGGAGGGGAAGCCTGGTCTTGAAACGTTCTGATTTTAATTTCTTAAATTAACCCCTTCCCTGCCTCTGGCCTGGCCTGCCCAGAATCCCTCCCGGTTGGGCGGCCTCGCGGGCCTCCTGAGGGCTGTGGGGGAGAAGGAAGGCGAAGAAGAGATAGCGGCTGGGGTCCTCCCTCCTTCCCTCTCCGGGAGCAGTCCCGCAGCGTGCCCGCGACTCGCCCTTACCTCCTCCACCTCGCGGCGAGGCCAAGCCCAGCGGCCCAGGGCTGGGGGTGCAGAAAAGACCCCGAGTGCCGGGTCCGGACGCAGGGCCGCCTTGGGGCCTCGGGATCTCGTTCACCTCCGCAGCCTCGGGTGGCCGCCGCGGCTAGCGCCCCCGCCTCCCTCTCGGGGCGGGGGCGGCCGAGCCTCCCAGCCAGTCGCAGCGGGAGGGGCACACGAACCCGGCGGGAGGAAGGATGGAGGAGGAGGAGGAGGGGGAGGAGGGGGAGGAGGGGGAGGAGGGGGCGCGCGGCCCGAGGAAAGCAAGGGAAGGGGGAGGGAGGCAGCGCGGAGGTGGGGCGGAGCCGGCTCCTCCTCCGGGGTGGGCTCTCCAGTAAGCTGGGGAGCTGCAGAGGAGGCCAGAAGCGGCTGCGCCAGGACCCCACGTTTTCTGCTAAAGGTGGTTTCGATGCGGGAGGGGTCTTCGGCGCCGCCCTGGGGTGCAGGGACGGCTCCCAACGCGCCCCTCCCGGGTCTCAGCCTTCCCGGCTCCCGGCACCGCCCAGTGCACTCCCCGCCCTGGGCACCTCCAGCTGTGGCTTCTGCTGGCCACCTTGAATCAGGGCCTCTTCGCCCTAACCCTGCCACACTGGTTTGGGCCTGCTTCCACTCGGGGGCAAATCGGGGGTAGGCGGTTCTGTGAATCCGGAAGGGGGAGGGCGCGAGCGCTACTCCTGAGACATGCGCCACGGTCCCTAAGCGGCTTCGTGGGCAGCGCGCCTGGGTCGTGCACCCGGCGACCTCGGGTCAGACGCTTGGTCTCCGCGGAGACCGCCTGGGACGATCCCCTTTTGGCGTTCCTAGGGAACCAGCAGAGCTCCTGCTGGACCCCATCTGGGGACCCAATTCTGCTCTTAAAGTGCCACCTAGGAACACGTGTCCCCATCATAAATCCCATCCCGAACCTAGAGGAGTAGGAAAAGGGCAGTGGCCTCCAGGGCCCTGGTTCCCTCCTACCCACTCCCTCTACTTGGCTAGGATAGTAGCCAGGCTTTTTGGGACTGGAGCACCTAGAGGGTCCCACCTTTGGCTTAAGGCCTATCTGGATGGTGAGGCAGGAACCATCTGGCTGTTGTGAACTTGGATGAAGTCCCCAGGGCTGCAGTGAGGCTGAGAAACCACACAGGGTTTGGAGGCTACCAAGGCCAGAGCTGAGCTGAGTCTTAGATGAGAAAAGAGGGAGATGTTATTTCAGCCTGAGGGTGGTGCTTGGGCAGGGCTGTGCACATGTGCCTTGAGGGGCAGTCTGATTGCAGCAGAGCAGAAACCCAACTTAGTCCCAGGATTCCAGTAAATCTGGGGCTCATGGGAACTTTCTTTGATCTCCATCCCATTTCTGTAAAGGCAGAGGCATTGGGACATTCAGTATCAGGAAGGACAATTTGTAAACTTGTCAGTAGCTTTGGGGGAATGGCAATTTTAATAAGGACAGAGGCTGTGCAATGGCCAGTCAGGTCGAATTCCCCCTCTCTTGATCTTCTCTTCCTCTCTGTAGCTCCTGAATTTCTTTCCTCCTCGAGGAATTCTTCTGAGATTGGGCAAATAAGAAATCACTTTTCCTAATGCCTAAACAATAACAGCTCCTATTAACCAAGTGCCCAAGCATCATGCTAATTATTTTTATGCATATCAGTTACTCTTCCTAATATTATTATCCCCACTTAGCAGATGAAAAAGCTAAAGTTTAGAGCTCAACAAATGGCTTAGTCAGGATTTGAACTCAAGTCATCAAACTCCAAAGTCTGTGCTCAACCACAGTTCCCTCCTGCCTTCTCTTTGCTATAATAAAGTCCACTGGACCTTCACCTGATTCCCTAAATCCACCTGTTCTTGCAAATGGCCAAAAATGTCTGTATATTGTCTTAGTTTTACCTTTGTTGTTGTGATGTTTCTCCTCACTCTGTGCAACCTGTGAATGTGTCAAAACAATCTGGGACATGCATGGCTATGTATGTGTGTGCTTTTTTGCATGTGTGCATGAGAATGTGTGCACATGCATGTGTACATAGGACATGTATCTGTGAGCACATACATACCTGTGTGCATGAGTGTGCATGTGTGTATGTGTGGGTATGCGTTCATGCATGTGTATTTGCACGTGTGCACGTGTGTGCGCATATGTCCATGAATGTATGCAAGCGTATATGTATGCATGTGTGCCCATGCTACATTTCACAGACAACGGTTCCTGCTTGGTTGTTATGGGAACTACAGTTCTAAAAATGTTAAACTGAATCCCACTCCATGTGAACCAGAGAAACCAAGAGAGAGAGAGAGAGCTCGGTGACAGAGACACCTTTGGGGTCCCAGAGCTGAGGGAGAGAATTGTGGGCTCAGCAAGAGCTGGAAAGGCCCAGACTAGCCAGAGGTGTAGTCCCACTCATGAGACCCATGGCACCTGGCTGCAGACTCAGTCCTGCTTTTCCCACATCTCCCTCCTTATCCTTTCTCCTCCCTCTTCTCTTTGCCAGCTTCGTGCTCTCTAACCACCCTCCTTCCCTCCTCCTTCCCCTTTCTCTTTTCCTTCTTCTCCTTTTGGGTTTGTTTGTTGGTTTGTTTGTTTTGTTTAACTAATAAACACAATAATTAAGCACTTTAGTTTTAGGCTTGGTGGTATGGGGAACACAAATGTGGATCAAACAAGGTTTCTGCCCTTGAAGGTGCTCAAGGGTAGGAGCATTTGGATAACCGATAGGGGAAAGGGAGGGGGCAGAGCAAAGCACAAAGGGAGAGATGACAGAGGAGGTTGGAAGGTGAATTTGGATCAGATATGGAGGGCTTTGACAGCAAGGGTGAAAAATAGGTATTTTTATAGGAGTGTGGAAAGCTTGGTCAGTTTGGGATAAAGTGCTTGTTTGTTGTAAATGGTGTTTCAGGAAATTTTCATTAGTGCTGGGCAATGTGGAATGAAAGAGGGATAATGGAGGCAGAGGGATCACAGGAAGCAGTTTTGGCATAGTGTAGCCTGTCTCAAGTAGGGTACATGAGTTAGGGTGAAAGGAGAGAATAGAGCAAACATACTGGGTTGCTTTCTCAAGCTCTCCCCCATATCCCACCTCATCAAGATATGTATTATTCTTTCCCATCATTCCTGTGTGAGAATCAGGACTTGAATCAGCTACTGTTACTGATATGTGTTGTATTTCTTAGGTGCACCAGAACGTAAAATAGTTGGGAACCACTGGCCCAGCGTGTAGTAGCACTCAGTATTTGTGGAGTGAGTGGATATTTAGATATGCACTGGTCTTGGAACTGGAAGGCCCAGGTTCAAGGCCCATTTCATTCTCTTATTAACTATCTGCTCTTAAGAAAATCCCCAAACATCTTTGGCTTCAGTTTTCTCTTCTATAGAGTGCAGTGCAGTGTTCGCGCCAAGGGCTTGAGACAGTTAGCATGACTCGCCCCATCTTGGCTGCTGGACCTATCTGCTCTCCCCCCGCTCTCAAGGGCTGTCAAGTCGAGGTAAAAATGGCTAAGCCACTGAGGCAAAAACAGAATGCAGAGTAAGGGCCTGCGGTTTATGAGGACATTTTGCTGACTGCTTCATATCCCCTTTACTCTCTGTGTAAGCAATAGGCTTGCCACAATTGAGATGCCTGAGAGGGGCAAAGACCCCTGCCCATATTTTCTCAGGAGCTGAGCCTCTGTTCTACCTCCTGACGGAAAACATGATTAACAAGCCACCTTAAGGGCACCATTGTTTGCTTGCACTGTGTATCTTTGAAAAACATATATTAACTCTTAAACTGCTTTGCAAGCTATTACCACAAGCCCCCTTAAAACTGCTTTGTGAGCTGTTATCACAAACCCCTGATAAGTATTTTTATGTGATTTCTGTTCCCTTTTCTGTTTACCCCCTTTTCTGCTGAGCTAGAGTAAATGCTGAGCTAAAGTAAATGTAACAAGAAAAAAGGTATAAAAGCTGTAACCCACAAAAATAAAGCTGCTGCTTGACTACAAGTCATTCAGACCTCCAGACTCCGCTTTTCTTTCTTCTTTCACTTCCACGCGCTCTCTCCCTCAAGTTGAATGAGACATCTACGTTGGTGGTCTCAGGGACTTCCGCAGGTCGGTAGCCCCCTGGCAGACGTGCCGGACCCCACGTCTGCCAGGTTTGGACAGTATGTTCTTTTAAAAAAATATTTAAAAAAAATAGAGACAGGATTTTGCCATGTTGCTTGGGCTGGTTTGAACTCCTGGACTCAAGCCATCTACCCTCTTTGGCCTCCCAAAGTACTGGGATTACAGGCATAAGCCACTGTGTCTGGCCTGGACAGGATGTTCTTATAAACTCCTTCCAACTGCAATATGATGTGATTCTATGAAATTGACATAGCCAAGGTATATGTTTACATGGAGGGAGTACCATGGACTAAGGTGCTGGCAATAGGCACAGAGAGGATGAATGTGGGAAATATTTTAATAGAAGAATTAACATCATCTGGTTTCTGTTTTCAACAACATCATTGACTAGATAGCCCAAAGACTCTTTGTTGAGGGGGAACCCTGCAAGAGTTGAGGCAAGGGTCTGAAGCCTCAGCATGTTTTCATATAAACATAGAATTAGAATGGAATTAGAGATATAGTTACAGTTATTCCTATATATAATCATAAATACATAGCTATTCATATGGAATCATAAATATATACACATGTATAATCATATGATCTTTAATCTTACTAATAAGTCTCAGGTCAAGAAGTATTGGTCTGAAGTGGCATTGGAAAAAAGGCGACCCTAAGGCAAGATGCTCTAAGTCCTCTGTCACACCCACATGAGGGCTGCTGGAGGACGCCTCAGCTGTGTGGCAGTGTCAGTGCTGTGAAAGCGCCTGCTGTTTAGCCAGCTAGGGAAGGTTAAAGATGGCTGAGACATCTCCTACCTCAGGGGAATGAGGAGAAAACTCCGCTCTCCTTGAGCTCTTGTAGTAGCCCTGACGGCTGTCAGGAAAGCCCACAGACATCCAGGGACTTAATTGTCTCATGTGGTGCTGTGCTTCAGCAGTCACGTTCCATAGCTACTTTCAAGTTCTGCTTCTGCACCTGGTTCCTCTTTTTCTTACAAGATAAGAATTAGTAATAGTAACAAATCTTAGTGATCTTATTTCTTGATGAGTATGGAAAAAGTGCTGATGCCTTAGGTTTTCTCCTCACCTTGGCTTCTTCAAAGTCTTGGGCCCCCTGTCTCCAAGATACATGATTTACTTGACCCTATCACTGACCACCATTACCTCATCCTACCTGTCCTTCCCACTGTTTTGTACTCAATAAAAATCAGAGCATCCAGGCACTCAGGGCCACTGCTGAACTCCACGCTTTGGTTGAGAGTGGATCCCTGGGCCCAAACTCTGTTTTCTCTTTCTTGGTGTCTTGTGTCTTTTATTTCCACGGTTTCTGGTCTCCACACCTGCAGAGAGGAACTCACAGAACCTGGTAGGGCTGGACCCTACAATTCTTGCTACAAAATATATGGACTGCTTTATAAAATGTGCAGACATCGGTTGTTATGATGAAATGCTTAGTTGAGCTTGCAAAAAAGGGGAAAAATCTATATGGACCAAAATAGGGGGATCAAGACAAAGAAATATAAGCATGAGATATGCCATGACTAACCCCAGCAGG